TGCTATGCGGCTTGTACGATCATCGAAATTCCGCTATTTTGCTGCGGGTGCCGACTGCGTAGACGCTTGCAGCGATGGAACTGTGTTGTCGGCTGTCGCCAGTCGAGAATCCGACACATCGAGTGTGGCTGGAGCCGCAAATGCACCGAGTGTTTCCGAGATCGCCGGGCTCGACACGTGCTCCGAATCGATGCCATCCAGTGTGCTTCTGATACCCGAGTGCTTCTGATATCGCCGGACCCAGCACTTCGTCTGAATCGATGCCGCCATCGAGCGTGAGTGGACCGTCGCTTCATCTGCGGACGCGTTTCCTAACGAAGGAAGAGATCGATGCGAATGCGAAACGTCGTGACGCCGTTCGCGCTGAACTCGAGTCTACGCCGGCGACGCAGAAGAAATTTCAACTGATGCAGCCGGCTCTTGCACCTGCAATGACAAGTGAGGGCGAACATTTTTCGCTCGTTCAAATGAACATCTTTAACGTCGTGCTCAGCCGCACAGTGTGCAAAGAATGTTTGAAAGGTGCTATGACTGTCCGAGAGAGCACCAAGCTTGGACTTGCAACAAAACTTGAAGCCGTGTGCGTCTCTTGTGGCACCGTCGATAAATTATGGACATCACCCCGCAAAAAGGACACGCAGGCCTTCGATGTAAATGTCCGCGCCATAATGGCTATAAAGCAAATAGGCAAGGGGCAAACAGCTCTTAATGACTTTTGGGCTGCCATGAACGTCTCTTACAGAGGTCTTCACCACAAGACGTTTCAAAAGCACTTGAAAGAGACGTTCAGGAAGCCAGAGGCCATCGCTTTGGAGAAGTTTTATGCTGATTCTGCCACAGCAGTGATCAAAACATATAAAGAAATGGACCCCAGCTTCTGCAAGGACATCACCGTAGTGTACGATGGCACATGGCATAAGCGGGGTCACACATCACACATCGGAGTGGGATCGGTAAATGACTTCTTTACAGGTCTCATCTTGGATGCTGTAGTTCTTTCAAACCACTGCCTTGGATGCCAAACAGGGCCCAAACCTGGAGATGCAGCATACGAAAGCTGGCAGAAGCACCACATTTGCCAGAAAAACACAGACGCAAAATCGGGAAGCATGGAAGTGGAGGCAGGCTTGACTCTCTTTGGGCGGTCTGTATCCAAGCATGGCCTGCGGTACACCACTCTTGTGTCCGACGGAGACAGCCGTACCTTCGCTGCCCTCACAGAAGAGAATGTGTACGGGCTAGTGCCAATTGTAAAAGAAGAATGTCTGAACCATGTTCAGAAAAGGATTGGAAGTGCTCTTCGAAACTTTGTGCAGAAAAGTGATAAGCCACTGAGTGGGAAGGGGAAGCTGACTTAAAGCCCTCATTGAAAAGCTGACAGGATATTATGGTTGGGCCCTGAGAAACAATTCAACTGACCTAACAGCCATGCAGCGTGCAGTGATGGCAACATATCACCACGTCACATCGACTGACCAGGACCCTCACCATGAACTTTGCCCAGAGGGTTCTCAATCGTGGTGCCGCCATAGAGCTGCAGAGGCAAAGCGTGAGCCACAGCCAAAACATAAACACAGCCTACCGGACTATGTCGCTGCAGCTATGCTGCCCATCTACGAAAGACTGTCACAAAAGTCGCTTCTTCAGCGCTGCCTGGGAGCGAAGACGCAAAATGCATCAGAATCATTCCACTCCATTCTATGGTCTCTGATGCCGAAGGAACAACACTCATCCTTGATCGCGGTAGAAACAGCATTGCATGAAGCAGTGCTGCGCTACCATGCCGGCTGCTGCAAAGCAACCCAAGTGATATCGGACTCCATTGGACTTCAACCAGGTCATCTGGCCATCCAGCGAGCTCGTGAAAAAGACGCTTTACGCCTAAAAAAGAATTCTAAAAGACACCAAGTGAAGATGGAGGCCAGGCAAAAGAAGAAAAGAGTGCGCCAGGACACTTTTAGCTACTGTGCTGGAGCTTTTTGAAGAAAACACGTGTTTTGAACTTTCTCGGCCTGTTTTCTCAGAACGGATTTTTTTGCTAGTTGTGGTGCTGAGGAAAGCAAGAACTCGAAAACCGTTCATCAGATTTGTGTGCCGTTTTTTTATTCTGTTCCTGAATGACCTTGCAAGGGCGTAACAGGCTCCTTTTTTTGAAAATTGGTGCTGTTAATTTATAATAAACAATTAATTTTTGATGAATCTGGTCATTACTGGTTACATCAAATTCAAAGTTGCGTGAAAATTTTTGGGGGGAGGGAAATTAAAAAAAACGGCTTTGTAGCGCCCTGGGATAGCTATCAAGGAATGACCACAATGAATTTCAGCTTTCTACTATGTCCTGGGATTTCTCACGACTCTTCCTCAGGCACCCATGTGAAGCACCCAGTTAAACCTCAATAACTCTAGAACTAAGAAACACAGCTTCGTGAAACTTAGCAGTTGTGCTAGTTTTATTGTAGTGAACAACCCCTGAAAGTTTCATCCAGATATCTTAAAAAATAAAAAAGTTCAGTCTCCAGGGTAGCCTCCCCCCCTTAACTAGATTTCAAACTACTACAGGCTAATAATTTACTGAGAGTAGAACTACTACAGGCTAATCAGTTACTGAGAGCAGAATTCCTAGCAGATGACTACAATGGGCCTCCCGCAAAGCACCTGGTCAAAATGACAACACTGTTGCCTCCTGTCCCATTTTGGAAAGCAAGAGCAAGGCATTTGCCCCAACTTTTCTCACAAAAGTCAGCATCTAGGCACTGTAACGAAAGGTGTGTGGAATGCAAGAAGTTCTGTTGCACTCACTGTGTAGTTTTTCTTCGTATCACTACTTCATGAAACTGCTTTAAAGGGCCAGTAAACAGGCTCATCTTATTTTTTACACCCTGCAAACAAGCTTGCCAACTGGTACAGTAGACCGCGGTGATCACATTTTCAGAATATTGCAGCAATGCGTGCCGCGCAGACTCTCCATTTCAAAAAACAATCGTGCACCTGTTTCCTTCGCGGGACCAATCCTCCTCGTACTGCACAGTGACGAAAGCTTGCCCATAAGCAACTTCACATACCACTGAGATCGGCCTTGGTCCTGCGGTGATGCAGTTACGGCCGCGCAGTGCGAATTTTCATTTTCCTGTGCTGCCCTCTGCTATTCTGTAGAACCAGAGACAACCAGGAGAAGTGTTATTGCCAGAACGAAAGCCTCCGAGATGAAGAGGCATCTCGCTACTTCACCACTATGGAAGAGTGCTCCTCGAACTGCTTGTTCTTTGCGCGCTGCTATGACACATGCTTATTTGAGGGATGCTCTGCTCAGTCGTTTGCTGCACGCAATGACTTATCGCTGACGTCGCGTCACGTTGCCGAAGTGGGTGGAGTCGTGACGACGAGCTACGCTTTGGGTAGGGTAGTGAGGCCATGCGAAATTCGAAATCCACGTGAACGGGCATTCTAACTCCTGTAACTTCCTTATAATAACTTTCTTATAATAGAAAATGATACGCAAGAAGCCAATCAATGAGCTAGCACTGAGAGAGAAAGTACAGGAATTCAGAGTCTCGCTTCAGAACAGGTACTCGGCTCTTATCTAGGAAACCAGCCTTAGCGTTGACGCAATAAATGATAATCTGATGAGTATCGTTACGGAGTGTGCAGTGGAAGTTGGAGGTACGGTTCTTAGGACACAGGTAAGCTGTCCCAGGAGACGAGGAACCTCATTAAGAAGCGTCAAAGCATGAAAGCTTCAAATACAACAGAATAAACAGAATTGGCAGAGCTTACGAAGTTGATTAATAAACGTAAAGTATCCTTATATTAGCACGCATTTGCAAATTTTTTGCGGTAGCATGTTCACATGCCAAAAATGCATGTATTTCTCTTCATAACAATTTTTTGACCTCCGGGCTGTTTACTGGCCCTACAAGCAGTTTCATACGGTATGAAATTGCTTAAAATGGTTTTATGAAGAGTCGAACTCTTTGTATGCTGCCAGCAAAGATTTTCTTGTTTGTTCCTTGTAATCCCTGAATATAGAGCTTTTTTCATTAAATGAGCGCCAGTGTGCTTTATGTCTATTAAACTTGTGCACTGTGATAAGGTGGTCTCATTTGTCCAAAATAAAGTGTTTTCTTTATAAATATAAAAAAACTTGTAACTCGAGTTTTGCGTGGAGATACAAGCGAAATAGCGTGAGATTTGACAGAAAAAGACAGACAATAACATTTCACTAACCTGCGTGGCCACAGAAAACTTCGCAGAGCTGAAATGTGTGCGCTGTGTGCCATCTTTGGCAGCACGACTTGCACAGAGTGATTCACCATGTACAGTATAGACCGCTTATAATCTAAGTTGCGAGAGTCATGAATATCCGCATCATAAACTGTTACGTTATAAGTGGGTTTACTTGAAACCTTCGCGTCATGCAAGAAAGGATCGAATTTATCTTGTCATGAACAGCCTGGTTTATTCACGAATTGATGAAACATGCAAGTTCGTAGGGTTTCTTTCCAACCAACGCGTTGACAATTGGGCTAGCCCAGCCAAAATAGGGAGCAGCTGTCGGTTTGTCATCTGCTAACTCTCCTCCCGACATCTACTTGGTGGCATGACAACGCATGGGCATTTCAAATAAACAGGTTATACTTTCCTCTAGCCTTTCACAATAGTAAGTGGATATTTTATTGCATTTATAAAGCTGGCATTGTCCGTTTAAAAGTTTTATACACTTTAAATGTGAACTGATTTCTGCAGAAGCAGTCTGCAGAAAGCTTTTCATCGCTACCATGCAGATAAAGTATATAACTTTTCAAATGTGCTGGCAATGGTAACTGCTAGAACCTAATTACACCTTCTTAGTTGTGATGTATGATTCACATATTAAATAGTCTTGGAATGGAAGAGTATAAATTTTAAAATACAGCAACACAACAGGTTCATGGCATGTTTAGGAAAGTAGAATCTGTTGGAAAAGGCAAGCAGGGCAGTATCACTACGATTATGGAACTCACCTCAACATAGGCTGTGTGGAGAGGGAAATGCACAGGTCCATCATTGTAGCGCCGATCTTCGATCTGGCTTCGAAATGATGGCATGCCGGGTAGCTCCATAGCATAAGAGCCCTGTGAGCAGGTTCAGCACCACTGTTAGCAAGCTATATTATGTGCAGATGCAACCCTCTTTCTAGTGCCAACAATATTTTTATTAAACAAGTAGATCTTTTTGTTTATGAGCAATCGATTATGAAAAGAAATGATTCCGACCATGAAAAAATTGATTGATTGATTGATTGATATGTGGGGTTTAACATCCTAAAACTACCATATGATCATGAGAGACATCGTAGTGGAGGGCTCCAGAAATTTCGACCACCTGGGGTTCTTTAACGTGCAGCCAAATCTGAGCACACTGGCCTACAGCATTTTCGCCTCCATCGAAAATGCAGCCACCGCAGCCGGTTTTCAATTTCGCGACACGCGATTCAGCAGCCGAGTACCTTAGCCACTAGACCACCATGGCGGGGCCATGGAAAAATTGAAGGCTGGGAAGAGCCACTGCATGCATATTCTTCAGATGTTCATACATAACGCTTGCTGTTAAACCCTCATTAATCATGAAAAGTGAATAAATTACACATTATCTGGTCCTGGCAAGAATATGCGTTATTTAATGGCATTAAAATCTGGTTAATTTTGTTTATATTTCACTACTTGGTTATCTTGGGTGATTCACCACTTGCACTGAGCAACAAGCAAAGCAAAAGAATGAAAACAGGGCAAGTGTCCAGCTGAAACATAGTGGTGCAGCCCATACAGCGATAGCCATCATAACCATCAGAGACAGAGCAAGTCAGATTGTTTAGTGCATTTACTAGTACTGGTCACACTGCATTGGTCAATGGCTGTGTGGGTGCCACACCCTGCGAACTGTATGGTCACCATCCGTGTTGCTGCCCAGCGCCATCCATAGTGGTTTTGGCAAACAGTACTTTTGTTTTTACTTGAGCAAGTAGGCCGCACTTATGCCTTTCAAGATGAACGAACACTATTTATAATAGCGGCTATGATTTCATTCACAAAGCTGTCGAAAATAATAGATCATCTATTTCTGGTTAACTCATTGGGAAAAAAAGATTACGTGCATAACGTGGTAGTGGTAATAAACAGGGGAGAGGTGGTGGTGAAAAGCACATCTAAGATGTCAACAAAGGTTTCACGCCAGGGCTGTATGACGAGCAAAGCTATGCGAGAAAGAACTGCGGCTTTTGCGCAAATTAGGAGTGGGATTAGGGGAATCATTCAGTCAATAAAATTATATTAATGCAGTAGACATTTATTTGTTTTCCTGATACCCTCAATAATTTAAGCATATTTTACAGATTCAAACTACTGACGAGCATCTAAAGATCAAAGGCTTTTAAGCAGTGTCTATGCTGCCGATTTGAAGTCATCAGTTTTTTGTACTACTTGCTCAGTAACATAGTAGGAATTGGGAATGCACATGAACAAAACTTGCATGCGCACTACTTGTAAGCATTCAGGCATGAACAAGTGCTTCCCGCACTGTCGTGGATGATGTGGCAATCACACATTGATGCGGTAAACCAAGCGCGGGCAAATGCACTGTGCCGTAACCTCTGAGGTAGTGCATGCGAATCTTGAAGAACTTAACGTGCCTTCAAGTTTTGATTAGAGATGGTTCTGGTCTTGCAATTTTTTTTTAAAGCACGTCGACGTGTGTTGTGCTCGAGGCAGCGTCGTCATAGTACACATGTTTGCCACATTGACCAAGGCAATGACCTCACCATCATACATCTTACAAAAATTGGATATGGACCGAAAGAGGAAGCAGACAGCTTTAGTGAAGGAGCTAGGTCTCGCAACGTCAACACGCGCGGTTGTTGGGGATGGGCACATCTGCCTCAATTATGTGGGTACGACCATAAATCTCCTGAAAAACATCTCCAACACCACCACCACAATAAAGAAATAATAACAGAAACAGCAGTTCTACAACTTTCTGGTCTTCATCTATTGTGAGCAAAGCACTTCTTATGGCACTTTTGCCACGGTACTTTAATGACATGCTGAAAAGTGTAAAAAGATTGCAAAGGGGCTACTAGCTGTTATGGGTCGCAACGAATCTGATTTGTAAGTTACACACACTGCATGTACTCTATATTTACCCGTACATCACTGTCTATGTCTAAAAACCTTAATTCCAATCATTCAGCACTGTTCGTGATATTGCCGCGACCCAGCAAAAATTAAATAAAAGGCATGCCAGCATTCTTTTGTCGCATATAATTTCGATTGCTGTCAGGTGACATGAATTTTTGATACAAGTATTTCTGGTGACCTTGAGAAATATGTAGCGCCAAGGCTTTACTGCATGTTCCAAACTGCTCATGGCACTGACTCAATTGAATCTATTTTCAAAAGAGGCACTTAAGTGCATCCAACCTAATGAATAAAGCAGTTGAAAATTGCTAATTTAGTACAGATACTTTCAACCTACCTGTAAATGATGACCAGGGTTACCTTCATGCAATGCCAATGCAGGCATAAGGTACTTGGGCCTGGATGAAGGTAAGTTGACAATAAAGCCAAAGCAGAAAGCCCTTCTGGCCACATCAGGGTAAATGAGTAAAAATAATATCTGCCATTCTCCTATAGCTAAAGCTGATGAAAGCCTCAATATTTCCCATACTAGAACTTTCCCCAGTAGATGGAACTAAGAACACATAGGATGCAGTTTTAAGGACCACAGTAAGTATCAACATGTGACCACACGGAATAAAAAATGCATGCGATAGTGTGAAAGTGTGGCAAAGCTGCCAGTCTGCATGGGCATATATCTCCCCACTGTGACCTTGCCACTGGCCACTCCACATAAATTATATTTATGCGGAGCACCTTGTCATGCAGATATGGAGTACAAAGACTACAGAAGCCAATAATGTTAAGTTCAATTTTCATAGCAGCATACGTTGGCATAAAAAATAAGCGTGTTTTTTAACCAAAATTACATACAAGTTTTGGTCCTATAATGCATCAGTTTCTTATGCTAAAAATAGTACTTTTTGTACCTTAAACAGAAAAATGAGGGCTAAATACAACTCGCACATACCAGAGTTAAACAGAAATAGCTGTTTACTAAACCTTAGACATATATATCTTATCTGTGTAACATCATAGCCTGGCAAATATTTTTATGGTATACCTAGAGAACCGAGCAAAGGAATGACTGCCTGTCAATGCTTCAAGAACAACGCTTTAATGTGTAACTATGCCTTCAGCATAACAAATGTAATTTACTAAGACACGTTGCCGGGCTAGTTGGTTGGGGTTCATCATTTATAAGGGTATAGCGCACCATGACAAGGACACAAAAAGAGAGACTCTCACACAAACACACAGCGCTAACTTGCAACTATTGTTTTATTTGCGATCACACAAGCTATAAGTACAGTAACAGTGGACCAATAAAACCAGGAACTACAGGTGAAATCATTGAAGCCTTTGAAATTGAAAAAAATGAAAGATAAATGTGTGAGTGTGGCTTCAATAGTTTTGTCAGCTAAAGAAAAGAAGTATCTCAAATCTTCACTTTGACGTTGGAGAGTTCAGATTGCTGCGGTCGATGATGACGTGTGCTGTATCTTAACATGATATGTTCCTGGGTTTATCGGTCCACTGTTACTGTACATATAGCATGTGTGATCACAAATAAAACAATAGTTGCAAGTTAGCGCTGTGTGTGTGTGTGTCTCTCTTTTTGTGTCCTTGTCGTGGTGCGCTATACCCTTATACATGATGAAATATAATTTAACTTGATTATATAAAAATGCACAACTCCCTCATCCACCTTAAATACCAGTAATCTTTCATTATCCAAGATTCTGGTTGAACACATCGAATTCAATCAAAGCACTGTTCTGTGACACACAATATGTTCGTTTATGTCACCTATGTGGTCCGAAACAACAACCACTCCCAGAATGCTGAGTGACCAAAATGAGCTAGGATACGAAAGTGATGTTTTGCATATCTTTCCATCCTTATTTTTTTAACTGTTCTGATAGACCTTTTTAGAAATTACAATTTTAGAAGTTCACTAAAAGGATAAAATGCTCCTAAATATTACCTGCAAATAATAAAAGAAAAAAAAAAAGAACGCTACTCACGATCTGGTCAGGTCGGCAGCATTGACATAAAATATTCCAGGGCGAGAAAAATCAGTTGTGCCTTGGATGTACATGGCACATGGTCCACTAGATTTGGAGACATCTTGAAGCTGAATTCTATAAAAAAGTAAATTAAGTTAATTAATCTTGACAATGTATTACATGACTGCCTACCGTAAGCATCCATGTACAGTACAATCCACTGTTAAATAGAACACTCGAATGAGCACCTTTTTTATTACTGGTCTCCTCACTGTAAGTGGAAGCGCAAACATTGTCTGTGCACTGTACTAGTCGACAAGAGTGAGAATTATCATCCAACACTAGTCAGCACAGGTAAATTTAAGCCACTAGACTTTCAGATGATAGCGAAATCCAAACATCCTGCACGCGAGTGTTTTGTTTAGCAGTGCACCCGTCAGTACAAAGGCGCAGAAAATCTTTCAGTCCAGCCAAAATGAAAAGATAACCATAAAGTGTTCGCTTTTTTAAAAAAGCATCACAAATGAAGCATAATACATTTCATTGAAACACTTGCAAAAAGCAAGACTCTATAAAATATAAATATGTACAAGAGCACCTGAAATACTCTACTGTATTTCAACAGAAACTAAAGACAAATAAGAGTTTACATCAGAGTGAAAGGTCAATGTTTGAGGGCGTCTAAAATGTCTCGATTATCAATATCAGTGCCCTAAAAAATAATAATAAAGTCGCTTACCTACCAACCTCGTCAAGCAATTAAGGTAAATGTATGACACTATACGCACCATGAGTGGGGCATTTTGAAATGATCTTGATAATGTCAAAAGTCTTGAATACAATTAATCACTCATAATAAAACCAGTTGAAATAAAAAATGAACCTTCCTGCATTACAATACACAATAAAATACTGCTTGCCTGTATATGTTTGATTCATAGGAAAAAGAACTGCTTGGCGTTACAATGGGGAATGCAATGATTGGTTCAAAAGTTCTGTCTTCTCCTGGTTAGGCTGCACAGGTGGTGCCATTTAGCAAGGCCCACTTGAACCAGGCAAGCATAAAGTTTTTTTGTTTTTTTTTGCAGAAACATTGTGCATTCTATTTTTGGAGTGAATGCTTTGCAGTGGCATAATTCATTTATCTTTATTTGTGACATACTCAGGGGTGTAAGATGGTACATGGGTTTGGGAGCAGTCCTGAAGCAGGAAAAAGTGCCTTCTCTAGCAAGCTTGGAGCAACCAAAAAGACATTTTCAAGCAAGCTTGAAGCAGCTAAAAACGACTTTTCGATTAAATTTGAAGCAGTTAAAATGTTCAGATCAGATGTATCCTCGTTTTACAGCACTTGTCAACAACATTTATCCAATGCTGCATTCTTCAACCACTAAGGCAAACTGTGCTATCACTTATTATTGTAATAGCAATTATATGTGCACCTCTCGACGAGTTTTTGCCATCACTGTTGCCGTCATGTCTCGTATGAAGTCCAAATCGATCAAATGCATGTGCGCATCGTAGGTTCTACCTGCAGGTAAAAACGCGCGAGCGGTGGTGACACATGTGGCTGAAGCAGAGATCAAATGAGTCCGTCACTCAGAGCGGAAATTTGATAACATCACTGCGATCGGGCCTGCCATCGTAGAAGAGAGGAAACATCCCGCCCGTCTTGAATGAGCATGAGAAAATGCCAAGGTGGTAGAGATGGAGGTATTGCCTGAGCAGCAACTGTGGACTTCGCTTGTAAGTGCGCCATCATCTTGCCTTCCTATCGTCTTTAGCTCTCCTTTCCCATTCCCAAATGTGCTGAGCCGTGCCCCCATGACGGGAGGCAGAAAATAGCGTTCTTCTTCCATCTTCCTGTTTCTTCAGACCACTCTCTCTCTCTCTCGTGATCGCTAACGCGCGCACTACCTCAGCAGTTGGCTTGTTTATGCTTCTATGTGCTGCACTCTCCTCGCAAAGAGACTGGGCAATGAGGGTTGCTTTCCGTGAAGCAGCCGTATTATTTTACACCAACTTTTTGTACAGTTACGTGAGATTGGATTCAAAAGAGGCAGCTGACAGCTACACTTCGGCAATATTACAATTTGTTACTAGTGCATTAATTGTTTTATCTTTGCACGAAAGCAAACTTTTTTTAGCTATGAACAGCCGCCCATTAGTTTCAACCTGAACACGAGAGAGCGTCAACTGCCGAGTCAATAAGCACTTCTGTGCATCTGTCCTGGCTAGGCTGTTCAAGGAATTGGACACCACCCCGGTCTTTTCAGCACCGTTATGACCATTATTTTTAAGTGCAAAGCATTTCTCAGCGAACTTCGGCAAATTTGATTGTATCTGCCTACCTATCTATCTATTTAGCCACCTACGACTTTAAGCTCTCCTGCCCGCCTGGATAATGGGATCTATACCAAAATTGGTATGGCATAACATGACTGTAGGATGAGCATAACACACATAAATCGCAAAACTGGTATGGTATGACATGACAGCATGGCGAAAATAAGTGACAGGCCCTCACATGAAAATCATGACTATCTTGTCATGTAAAAACATGACTGTATGCCACGCTCATGATGCGCTCACGGTCATTTCGCTAGCTTCACATACACGAAATTTGTTATTACGTGACGTGAATGAATGACGAAGGTATGTGACTGTTGCAAACATGACAATATGACATGCGTGTCATGTAAGAACATGACTACAGGCCATACACATGATGCGCTTGTGGCCGTTTCGCTAGCTTCACATATACTAAATTTGGTATTACGTGACGCGGACGAACGACGAGTACAAACGCCAGGTGCAAACATGATAATCATGACATAAGTCATGCACTGCATAATTGGTTCTTCTCGTAACATTGTGCTGATTTTAATGTAACAATTCAACCTTCTTCATTCGTGCTTCGCATATCATCGATTCCCACTGTACGAGAGATCTACCAATTTTTTTTCTTTTCTGAATGCTGCCGTACAGTTATAATAAAAAAAAAGACAGTATTACCACGAGAGCGAAGCAATGAATGTGATAACAATACATTATATAGTTATGCAAAGTAAGGCTGGCAGCTAACTATTTTGGATCAGATATATCGCGTAAGTAACTCTAAAAAATGCTGGTGTAAGAGAAAACAACCGCGCCAGGGAGAGATGCTCTTTTTCCTCAGTCTCTTCAAGTTGAGAGCGCAGCAAGTAGAAAGGTCCATGAGCCATTAGCGCTGATGCCTGCCGAAATAGTGCGCATGTCAGCAATCACAACTGCAGCCTTAGTTTACAGCTTCTGCTGGAGCGATCTCAGCATAGACGAAACCAAAACTATGACTGATTAAATGAAACCAAAAATAGATGTTTCAGCCATGTTTCCGGCCATAGGGCTGTATAGAATTGCGACTTGCGGCGAAATTAGGCTGCTGCGGCATAGTACAGTGCCCCTCCTAATTGCGTCCTTACCTGGGCCTGCATACTGCAGGCCCAGGTAAGGACCCAAGCAGGAGGGGCATGAGAAAAACAATGTACAAGGTATAATAAAAACAAAACAGGGAAGCAACATTGGAAGTATGAAACGAAATAAGGGTAGCAATACAAAAGTTGGTATATAAACAAAGCATATACAAGTTCAGAGCAGTAAAATAAGTTTCATTTTTAATAATTTTTCCCCCTAAAAAACGCTAGGCAAATACGAACGTGTCTATGACTGGGGTTGCACAAAGTGTCACAAGATGTTGACACCATCGTCTAGCAACCCTGCATTCCAAAAACCCTTTGCATATGTTGGCGGCCATGCAATAAATGCGGGCAACATTGGGCAAGGCAATCGCTACACCAGGAGGCTCACAGTCTTGTGGTTGATTTGAAGTACACAAATGCTGTGCGGACCATTGAAACGTGATTTCATTTCAAAATAAGAATATCATTCACACAAAAGTAGCACCAAGAGGTTTCCGGATCTCAACTTAAGCGATCAATGTCAATTTATTATTATTTTTTTTGGTGTTCCTTCGAATCAGACAAAAGTTCTGTAAATCATCAATTAACAATTATTGCATTTATTTATTTATACGATGTTGGTGCCAGTTGATGTACCCTATTATGCACAATAAAACTTACTATAAGGCAATACACGGAGTGTGTCAGACATACTGAATAATCAGAAGTTCAGAAGAGAGAGAATTAATATGGCAGAAAATAGTGCTGAATTCACAAGTGGCCAGGATAATTTGTCAACATGATGCTGTGGACATGTATACATGCACCCACACTGGTGTACTTGAACTACTGCCATGCAGTCTCTACACAGGAAAGTAAAGACAGAACCTTCAGGTTGCCAGCCATGGCATGGCTTCGTTTTCCCATTTGCTTGGCCGGAAACTATGTGGTTAACTGGACAATGAACTTCTCTGCTTCTGATTTTGAAGATGCACAGGCAATTTAGTAAAACAATGACACATTCTCCTCTGCTTATAGTGATGTCTAAGTTCTCAGGCCAATGCACAGGCATAAACAGAAAGAAAATGTGTGATTGCATATGTGGTGGTGAAATTATTTTGTATGATTATAGTTATTTGTAAAGGATTACCGTTGATTTATCTAGTGGCAGTGTTACGATGATGTATGAAAAACTGGTCACTGAGCACAAATGGTATAATTCCCTATCAAAGAGCCCAGCCGCGGTGGTCTAGTGGCTATGGTACTCGGCTGCTGACCCGCAGGTCGCGGGATTGAATCCCAGCTGCGGCGGCTGCATTACCGATGGAGGCGGAAATGCTGTAGACCCGTGTACTCAGATTCGGGAGCACGTTAAAGAACCCCAAGTGGCCGAAATTTCCGGAGTACTCCACTACGGCATCTCTCATAATCATAAGGTGGTTTTGGGACGTTAAACCCCACATATCAATTAATCAAATCAATCCATCAAATCTCTATCAAACATACAAAATAGCTTCATATCATAGAAATTTCCACTATCTGAAATGAGTTTTACAACAGCTTCCCTTCAGCTGTAGAGCTGGCATTTGTTCTCCTGATGGCTGGTTGATTACAGTAAGTGGCATTTTCCTTGTTTTAGCATGGTGTCACACAGTGCACTTTCAATAGTGCTCAAGCCAGATTAAGGCTGAATTTCTCAAC